CACTTCTCACCTATGTCTGTATCTCTTGTCGGTCTATCTGTCTCCCCCCCTCGCTCGCGCGCCCTCTCTTCTGCTATTAATTTCCCTGATTGGCTCCCCAGCTCCAAGCGCCGCTGATGAGCCCTATTCATTCCCGGGCCTGACACTCTCGACCTGCCCTGGCTGATTGCTGGGGGCTGGCCCCGGGAGCGCCGACGAGCCCCGAGGGTCAGCAGCGCTAATTACCCGCTAATTGCCGATGACTCCGCTCACCTCCCTCGTTCTCAGACACCGAGATGACGGCGCCTTTTACCCTCCCCCCCCTCCCGAGTCCCAGCCGTGGAGTCGTCAACCTAGAGGCAAAAGTCATGGGCACTTGCGCTTGGCAGAAGCCTTCGGTCAGTGGGTAAGAAAGACAAGACAGGCAAGTCAACAAGAAGAAGCGTGGCCCGAGCTTCAGGACGTAGGGTTGCAAGCCTGGCCCGCTAAAATGGGGGACATCTGGTCCCTGGGCAACTGTTATTCAAGTGGGGCCAGGGAGAGCCGCGCTCGTCAAAATTAACAGCGGCCAAGCCAGGCACGTTTAGGAGGATGCATTTGGCTCAGCTGAGGAGGAAAACCCGGGCCCAAGAGCCTCAGCATTTCTGAGCCCAGACAGAGGACGGCAGGAGGGAACTCCATCTCAGTGACAGTTGTTCAAATCAGGAGTGCTGCGTTGGCCTAGTGGACACCACTAAGGTCAGGCTAACGAGTTAAAAACCAGCACCCTGAAAGACACTATCACCACAGTGGGGCAGAAGAGGGTGGGACCCAAGAAGTGCTTGACTGACAGTTCATCAGAGAGGTAAAGGGAGGAGAGTGTGGTTTCCACGCAGTCCCGATCGATCTTGGACTCCACATCAAACTCAGTGAAACTTATGAGAGATGAGCCTGGTGGGAAGATGTCGACATGGGAGAAAAAAAAAAAAGAGGGGGCTTAACTTAGGTCTGGGAACCCAAACTCACTACTAAAGTACGAGGACAATCAGGATAATCCTTGTACATGCTGCTAAAGATATTTTTCAGAACCCTTTGTTAAATTAACCAAGCACTTCACGGTACCAATATGGAGACCAGACTTCAAAGTGTAGGGAACTTAAAAAGTGAAAGAGATAAGTACTTGGTTTGATGGCTCTACAGTGTTGGATACACAATAGAGGCTTATTGACTTGATAAATTATTGAGGGAACTTTGGGCTACAGTCACTGAAATTAAAGCTGCATGAGCAGTAACAACACCAATCAAATAAAGCATGAAGGAAGAGCCATTTTTAAAAATAATTGAATTCTTTCTTTTTTCTTGCATAGGTAATAAAATCAGATAGCACAAAATTCCAGAAGCTCAAAGTATATATATAGTGAAACATCTCCCTCCCACTAGTCCCTTCATTAAATGGCCACTTTAATAAGCCTGTCACTCTCTGGTGGGACAGAATGGATCATGCATTGTCAAGGACTCAAGGTTAAAGACCCTCTGATCTTGAAGATGTATGTCACCTAGCTTAAGCCAAGAGCTTATTGCCCAGAACCGTACTCAGTAAAGCGGAATCCTCTGTGCCAGGGAGGACAGGCATACAGCTTGTAGCCAACAAATCCCAGTGGGCCACCAACTCTGAAGTGAGGACCGGCAGACCCCTGGACTCTGTTTTGCCCTGCTGTGGTGCGCGTTTGTTAGATAACTGTATTTTATAATCCATGTATATCCTCTATCTGTTCCCTTGTCACGCTGGAGTCATGAAGTGTGACTTCTGCATAGTCCTTGACATTCAGTAGCTAAACTAGGACAAAAGCCCTCATATACATGTAGCAACGGAAGCAGCCCATTTCCTTTCTCTGCCTTTTTAGAAACCTGGCACTGAGGCCACATGGTAAGTGGCAAAAGCGTTGGCTAGAGTAAAAAGACCTGGAGTTCAATTCCTGTTCGGACCCCTCAGTGGGCCATGTGACCTTGGCCCCTCTGTGACTTAACTTCTCCATCTGGGAGAGACAGCGATTAATATCTACTCTGTTTAGTCAAAGAGCTGGTGCAAGGATCTTTGTGATTATGTGACTAAATGACTATGAGGAAACACCTTTCAAAAAAAAGTTCTTCCTGCACTAAATGGACCAAGAAGAGCAGGGTGGTCAACAGTGGAAATCCCCCAAGTTAGTGGCTCGCCAGAAACTATTTCTTACTCTCCCATCAGTACCAAGGACAGAAGCTGTCGCTGTCGAATCTGAACGGAGGAGGCTCCTTTCTTGGCCAAGAGAAAAACTCTGTGGTTCTCCTACTGAATCCTGAACGGCCCCATTTGTGGGCAAGCGCCTCCCCTCACTGTCTAAAAGGGAATTCTAAAATTGCTTCTTTAATTCTCCACGTGCTCTGACTTGGCCCACTCTCATTACTCCACCTATTGGGGTAGTGCTCCTACAGAGGAATTTTATTTTGACTCTGCCCTCTTTGTTTGCGCCCATGTTGGACCCCATCACCTGTCCTCCCCTTCATGGATTGGAAACCAGCATCTAGGAGGCGAAGAACGGAGTATTCTAAAGTCAAAGCTAACAGATCTATACCTCCGCCTCACTCCTTGGCGGGAGCAAGTCCACTGACAGTGGGCAGCGTCGGACCCTGTCCGCGGGCACCCTCTGGTGGCAGCAGAGCGCAACTGCGTCACCGCGAGAGAGGTGCGGAGTACGCCAGCGCCCCCTCGCGTTAGCCAGGGAGACGCGCGGAGGGCAAGGGAACAGGACCAGGTGAGCAGTCCAAGGACCAGCCCGCGGGGCGCTGCTGGGTCCTCAACTGTGCGTGCCCTGACTGGGCGCCGGGACTGTACACGAAAGCCTTAAAATCGAGTGCCACGCGCGCAGGCTCATGCGTGTTTGTTGTGTTCGGGCCCTTGAACCCTGTGTATCTGCTGTGTTCAATGTGTGCCGTTTGTGTGCGCGCACATGTTACACGCGGATAGGTCGGTGGTGGGGAGGTCCGTGCCTCCAGTGCAGGGCGGAGTCCTCACGGAGGCGTGAAATTGGTTTGGAGCAAACACATTACGGAAAGCAATTACCGGGGAGAGGTTCTGGGCCCGCGGGACCCGCAGCCAGGAGGCTGGGGAGGCAGCTCCCTGGCTTGCAAGTGTGTCTGGATATCTGATCCCAGAAAGGACCTCCCTCGCCCTGGCCCGCTAACGGGGAGACCAAGTGAAGTTGGGCAGCAGACCCTGACTCTGACCACTCCGACCCGCCTTTCTTCCCGTAGCCCCCCCCCTCCTTAAAAGGCCTCCAGGTGATGGTCAGACACACGTACCCCCCCATCACTCTGGGAGAGGCCCCCACCTTCTGCGGAGCCTCCCCAGGTGCCTGCCCTGTTGCCCGCCGCCTTCCTCACACCCTCAGCTCCCGCGTGCCTTTCCATTCCCTGCATTGCCCCTTGTATTTCAACTAATTCCCACGCTCGTGTATCAGGCTCGATGGGAAATTCGCTGAGGGCAGGAACAGGTGTGT